ATTTCCCCAAGAATCACAGAATTACTTCTAAGTGTCAGTTACATTACCAGCCAAGAAGGTGGCAGGTGTTCTGTGTTCCTGGGGCTATAAAACATGAGGAACATTTTGAAAAGTTCCAGTCAGAGGGAGAGTGGATGACATGAGCTGACACAGTGAGGGTGTCAATATGTGCCGCTGAGCGTGTGCATGTATGTACACAAATGTGTGCGTGTATGTACACAAGTATGTGTTATGTTCAAATGCATCTCTTTTCCCCATGCTTTCCCTGTGGGCAGTGAGTCTTGATAAACCCTTGCAGGACTCTGGGTTTTCATCTCTGGCAGAATAAAGAATCAATCAAAATACATTGCTGTAACGTTTTTATATCCTGCAAGTCAGAGATAGTAGCCTTTCTTCCCTGCCAATCTAAGCCCCTCCAAGCTGATTCCAACAGACTGACTTGGACAGGAGTAAAGCAGAGGTGTTTTGTGTCAAGAATAAAGAAACTGTCCATCCACACTGATAGCAAAGAGCGAGTGAGTCAGTGAAAGAAAAACAACTAGGGGCCAGGAGACACTAGCGAGTTCGTTTGGAAAATAACATTTGGAGCTGACTTAAGAGAGGATGAGCTCTGAGGTTGTCCACAGCCTGCTGAAATAATTATTTGTGGCAAGAAGTTTCTTTTTATTTATGGCTGTTTGATTACAGTTGTGTGAAGCATTTCTTCAGTTCAGAAGTTTGCCCCTGGCCTCTGGGGTGTATTTGCGATGCCGTGGTGTAGAGGGCCCTCTTCTCCATCCCTTCCTGTTGGGTGTGCACTCAGCCAGGCACACTGCTGTGCAAACCCCCAGGCCTCAGGGATTGCACCTGCGCGTGGAGGCTCCTTGTTGGGCAGTTCTCCCAGGTGCTTGTCCCCTAAGCAGTGGCTGACTCTTGACCTCTTTCTGTTGGGTGACTCTGCCAGCGTGAAAGTCCTTCCTTCCCATTTTCACAGATGGAGAAGAGAAGGCATTTTAAGTGTTAGACCTAGAAGTAATGAAAATCCTCACATGGCAAAAATTATTGCAACAGAGCACACGGCTATGGGAACTATTGTGACAAGAAACTAGAGACTCATGACAAGAGTTCTTTGCTTGAAGGGCCTATTTCCAAAGTCTAAAACAGTGGCAAACTCACATGCCTAGAGGGCCAGACAATTAAGTAGTTGAGTCAGTGAGTGGGAGCAATAACATAGGGAGAGGTGCGGACAAGGGCAGCTCAGACAGGTGTACGCTACATAACATGATAATTTAACGTGTATGACAGATGGTGTGGCTAAATCAACCACCTCGGCTGGCCACGTTCATCCCATATGCTGCCAGTTGGCAACCTGTACTCTGGGACAGAAAAAAAAAGTCATCTTTCTGGAAGCAAACTCCAAAGTTGGCTATGTTCTTGAATCAGTACTTGTCAGGATAAACAAAAACCTTTTCTGTTTAAAAGAGAAAGCTCTGAATAGCAGCAAAGAAACAGGAGCTAAGAAGAGAAGCGGGTATAAAGAGCTTGATGTGAGGATTTGCTATCCATGCATACGTTTAAGGCAGTGGCTTTACACAGAGGACGGAGCTCTGAGCTCCCATTTGAAAGGCTGCATGGAGTCCTCCCAAAGCAGCGCGCCTCAGCTCACAATGGAACCGATGTGCTTATTGTGCAGCTGACCCTGAGATGCAGACTCCCTCCTCATCCTCCACCTGGTTCGGGTTCCTGCTGTTTCCCTTTGAATATTTCTGAGCACAGTCTACAACTGAAAAGTTTTATAACAGCAACAAAAGTAATATTTTGATGATATTTATAAATGTCTGTTCTGGAGAATAACAGTGAATCTGTACATTGGTTTAAACCTAATATATAAAAATAGTAATACTACTACTAATAAAAAGATCAAACATTGATTTAGCAATTACATAAGGCTCTTTACAATATTAACTCACTTAATCCTCATAATAACGTATAAGATGCTATTATTTTCCCATTTTCCATCTGAGGAAACTGAGCTACAGGGTTAGTTGGCCGAGGTCACAGCTGGTAGATGGGGATTCATACAGAACCAGTGTGGCTCTGTCCTGTGCTTACCGTCTGTCTGAACATGAATCTGCTTTCATAAGCAGACTGATTGCAATTTTCAAGTAATGGAAATCCTTTGGTGATCATAAAATTTGATCTTTGCTGAGCTTTCACAGATGTATTGGTTGCCTCTTGTTTATGAGGTGCAAGCAAAGGCATAAATGAACAAAAGAACCACATAGAAAGAACATTATTGCCATGGCATTAAAGACATTTGGAATGTTGCTCACAGCATATATCTTGGAAAAGTTAAAGAGGGTTTGGGGGAAAGTATGTCCAGGTAGTCTGGATTCTTTTTTAAACACAGTTTTGTCAACTCAGAGATGGGTTACGTGAAACCCATAGAGGCACAAAGGAATTAAAGTGAAAACAAAGAGCTTGTTGGTTAAAAAGACAAATTTATATTCCTCTCCATTTACCCAGCTAATTCTTACCCATATTTGAGATGGAAGCAGGAATGCTTTTTGCTGTGGGTTTAGTTTCTGATCCCTCTTTATGAAATTAGACTCCCTGTCCCCAGCTTTTACATGTTCCCGAAGAGACCTATAATTTCTGTTCAAGTTAAATTGAATTTTAATCAATACATTAAATTATGCCTTGTTACTGCCTCTCACCTTTTCTAGTCCACACTGACGGTCAGCACATACTGACTACTTACATTCCGCGTGGCACTGATTGCCTTACCTGCAGCTGCCAACTGACTCCACCAGCCCCTCCCAGTGCACATCTTATTTCCCATGTTTTTCTAGATTTGAAAACAGAGAGGGACCATGAAAAATGCAGACCATCCAGTCAGTAAAGGACAGGGCCCAGATTTGAACCATTAAAGTGACTCTGGAGTTGTTGCTTTGACTGCCGCACTGACGGCTTCTCTGAGCTCCAGGACCCCCCTAGCCAGTGCTCACTGAGCCCTAGAGTGAGTATTGGGGCACAAGTGGATGGGTGAGGGCAGGGAGGAGTGAGCAAATTAATCACTCGACTAGTGCTTACCTTGCTAAGTCATACCCTGCCCGTGGAAGTGCTGCATGCTTTTATATTATTAAGCATTTAACCTGAATTTTGACTGGTCAATGAAGTGACCCAAGAATTTTCAAAAACAGAGCTGGAGCCTCCCACCATTCCCACCTTCCCTGAGAATCAGCGGTTGGAAAGGTTTCTTTTTCCTTTATGACTCCAGAGGAATCCCGAATAGAACCTGCCAAGGAATGAGGACAGAGTGAGCTGCAGAGAGACAAGAATAGGGGACTCACCCAGACTCTCCATCAGTTCTGGTTTCTTACACTCAGGATCCCTGGAGAAACATCATCTCCGATGGTCCTAGGGGATGTCTGGCTTACTGGTCTGGGATTTGTGAGCAGAATGAGCTGATTAGAAGGTTAATGTGTAATTGTAGACACAGGGTGCCTGGAGGCAACCTTTGGCCATTTGCTGTTTAACTGAATTAATGTTGGCCAGTTATAGATCTTCTGCTTGCAAAATCGCCAGCTAATTATTCTGAGTCCTGAATCTGCATTCTGTGTGTGCCACTAGGTTGTCAGCATTATGATTGCCTCAGCAGTGATTTAACCAGAGCCTGCTCTCAAAGCAAGGGGGCGTTTTACAAGCAGGACTGTACGGGCACTGGGCTACAGCATCCTTCCCCCTTTAATTTTAGAAAGATGATGTAGGTCAGGGTGATGACTCTCCCGTTGCAATTTCTCTGATGTTTCTCAGGCCGGCTGCACCGCGAACCTCCAGAGATTGATGGTTGCTCTTGTTCCTTGAGGTTCAGTGCATTTCAGAGGCTGGTATTTAGAGAGAAGCCTTGGTCCCACAGCTTCCGACCTTTTGTACACTCCTTTGAGTTTGCTGGTGGGGATGGTAATGAGTTTCCTTCAACAGCCTGTGTGCAGTGGTTAAGAATTTGTGTTCTGGTATCAAATTTTGGTTTCCCAAGAAGCAAACACCTAGTCAAGGATTTGAGAGCAAGTAGTTTTATCTGGAGGGTGATGTCAGAAAAATACCAACAGGGATGAGGAAATGAGCCAAGGGAGAGAAGGTAGCAAATGGAAGGTGCGTTATTAAGTCAGATACCACTGTGGGCAATTGGAACTCAAGTCCATGTGGAAACTGCTATCTCACCTGAGGGGCCAGGGAGCCAGGGTATGTGTGCACCAGCTCTCATCAGTTCTGGTCACAGGCTGCTCCTGGGGTTGTGAATTTCCAAAACCCTCTGCTGGGACCATGCTCAGGTAAAGCAGCCTCCCACAGGTCACAGAGATATCTCAAGGAACATAATGCAAAGTCCCATGCCACATGGGAAGCCTGAGGGGTATGAGAGGGGCTCTGACAGTGGACCCTTAAACCTGGATTCAAACTCGGGCTCTGCCATCTTAAATGGAGGACCTTGGCAAGCATTGTTAACTGCACTAGGATGCCAGGCTCCGGGCTCTGTAGCTACGTGTGGTCATGGCCCCCATCTTGGACTGTGAAGGTCTAGTGGGCCCTAGAATCCTTTTAGAAGTAACTTCCAATGGAATAGTTAGTTTTCCTCCTCTCACAGATGACAATGCTCCTTTGCATCTATGAAAGCGAAGTTGGTTTTAACTCAGGCATTGTATAAAATTGACAGATTTTGTAATGAAATTTCACACATGGAAACTGTGGTGAGATTCTTAGCAGGTATAAAAATTTGACTAACTTATTCCTTTAACTGCAACTGAATGGAAACTGCTGCAGCTGTTCCCATTTGCACGTTTTCCAAATCTCATTGCCAAAACAACATTGTTGGCAACCACAGGAGAAGTATCAACTTACCTCTTCATTTGGGAAATGAAATTAAATCCTCAGCTCATTTCTAAAAGTCACAGATTTGGTACAAGGAAGCAGGCCCAACACATGAGCTGATGTTAAAATATTGATGGCTTTGGTGTTCTCAGGTGCTGCTGCTAACATCTGCAGAAGATTTGGACTGCACTCCTGGATTTCAGCAGAAACTGTTCCACATCGATCAGCCAGTGGAATTCATCGAGGACCAGGCGATTCTGAACTGTAAGCAATGTCACTGGATATTTCTGGCTTATCCTCATATTTAAATTCACCAATGTCTGTTAATATGTCTCGGGATGTGGTGTTCCTTACACTAAGCATTTTTCTGCCCATTATTCTCATTTTGCTTGACCCAGAGTGGATGGTCTTGAATTAGGGTCTTGCCAGCTTAGAGGTGAACAGTGTCATGTGTATCTCTTTTTAGTATTTGATCACTGGTGAGTATTTTCCAACCACTCCCACAAAAGGGGGCCGCCACCTTCCAATGTGAGTACTATTCTGTGTAAAGGAAATGAAATTCATTTCGCCTGGCAGATCCCTGAAAGCAGAACCATTGCCTTCCTGTGGACCACTGTCCTACCTGTATTATGTCGTTCACAGCATTAGATCAAAATAATGGTGAGGGCAGGATGTTGGCTTCTGGAAATTTTTAGGCATAGGAACTCAAAACCCTTATTCTTTTTAAAAATGTTTATTTTTATTGTTGGCATTATTATAGATGTCCCCCATTTCCTTCCCCCGCCCATTTGCCCCTCTCCACCCAGACCCCACCCTTCCCTTCCTCTGGCCCTAACCACATTGTTGTCTGTGTCCATGTGCTATGCATATATGTTCTTTGGCTATTCTCTTCACCTTTTTTTTATACCACCCACCCCTCTGACCTCCCCTCTGACTTCTGTCAGTCTGTATCATGTATCTATGACTCTGGTTCTATCTTGTTCATCAGTTTATTTTGTTCATTAGATTCCACATATAAGTAAGATCATATGGTATTTGTCTTTCTCTGACTGGCTTATGTCACTGGGCATTATATTTCTTAAGGCTAATAAGATGGTTTTTCAGAAAAGAGTCAAAACCTCTACTGGCTATTTGTGGATTAAACTTAAATCTTCCCAAATTCCATTTAATTTCCTTAAAATATGCTCAGACCTGTGGTTATAATCTCTTTATGTTATTTAATGATGATATTATATTGTTTAATCTTTAGCATGGAATACATTGCTAAACTCATAACAAAAATAGCTTTAGCAGAGTAGAATTTACCACTGATTGTAGACAAATAACCATTTAATTGTAGGTTCTTGAGCACTATTCTAACACTTTGGAATGAAGGATATGAAAACAGTGTTGTAATTTCGTCAGATGCTCCGAGGTCCCTTCAGGGAAGATCATTGTACATTTGCCCCTCTGGCCTCAGGTTTGCCTTCGAGGCTGGCCCACATTCCTTCATTCCTGTGCTGTGGCTGGCATTTTAAAGAACAGTTAAAAAAACAACGACAGCCTGCTTGAGTAGATTGTCCTGTGAGGCTGGAACACAGTTTAAGAGTTGAAAGGAACACAATAATGAAGATGCAATGTCGAGCATCAAGGGAGCTATCCAAGGTGAAGCCCAGGCACATCTTGATGCAATTACACCAATGAAATCATTTCAATAATTAGAGTCTGTAATGACACTGTGCAGGACTGGCACAATAAGTGAATTCCAATATGTGATTTCATATTCATTTGATCCCTGAGTGTGACTCCTGGGTCAGGCCATCAGAAACCCTCATTTGTCTTTTGATTTTGCTATTAATCAGAATCAATATATTTCAAACAAAACTTGGTTTATGAGAACCATTTTTCTGGGTCTCCTCTCATCTGTATCAGCTGCTCTTCTCTCTCTCTCTCTCTCTCTCTCTCTCTCTCTCTCTCTCTCTCTCTCTCTTTCACACACACACACACACACACACACACACACACACACACACCTCTTTTTTTCCAGTGATCATCCCAAATGGTATCTATATTAACACGTGGAAATGTGAAGCCACCCTGAGTATGGAAATTAATAGTGTTGATATGCAAAGCAGGCTCATACTAGTAAATGTGATTGCTTCTGTAATCTTCACTACACCAAACAGCTTTTAATTCACTGCTGAGAAGCTGGAAACAATCATACTTTGGGGGATCTTTTTAATTTAAACTAAACCATACTGTACATTCCAATATCACCGGTGTGTGTGTGTGTGTGTGTGTGTGTGTGTGTGTGTGTTTTCAATCCTTAAGTAATTAAGTGGGTTATGGTTGTTGGTTCTGTGTAAGCTAGTAAATGGTAAATAGAACTGGTTTGATTATCGATGATAGCACATTCAGGAAAAGTCAGTGATATGGGAATTGAGGATTTTAAATATTTATATGTGACTTTGTGTGTGAATTATAGTCAGCAAAGTCTGACAACCCCCTCTCAGTGAAACTGTAGGTCCATATATATTATTAGGGTGGGAAATACAGGGAGCAGGTCTAGTTAGATACTTTTGAGTTCATCTCAAAGCAATGGACAGAGGTTATTATGTGTATAGACCTTGTGAATATGTTTAACTGTGCCTGAATAAAGAAGAAAGTTTTTAGAGATTGGAGATGGCCTGTTGGATAGTGTTTGGAAAATCTGGATTTCCAGAAGTAGTAGAAGAGATTGCTCTATTCCACTTGCAAGAGGAAATACAAACTCAAGATACTGAATAAACTTTTTTCCCTAAGTAACATTTTAAGTCTTTCTCCCTTCTCCATGCCTCCCCCCTCCTCTTCCTCTCTCATTCTCAGTTCTTTCATGCATTTCCTCATAGTTCAATGCAAGACCCTTCTGTCTCTGAAAAATGTGATTAAGAAACTGAGTGATGAGTACTGTCAGCATGAACACTATATTGATATAAGGCCAGCATCTGGATGAAAATGGAAAATGATCAAACAAGACCAGAAAGTGTTAAAATACTTAGATATTGGAGGTTGAGATCCAGGAAATGCCTTTGGATATTTTAGTGATATATAAATATAATCTGATATTCTAGGTAATAACAGATATTAAAAGAAACCAGGTTACTAACATTATCTTGGGCTTATATCATTTTCTCTTTCCAGTTTTCCTTTATATTTGCCCTATTTAAGAGCTTTGATTTCCAACCATTGTGAATTTCCAGAAGGTATAAACACAGCATAATCAATTGTTGTCTATAATTTTCACTATTCTATATGGTTGTCTGATAGTGTTGTCTCCTTGCCTGACAGACCTAGTACATCTGCTCTTACCCCATACATCTGCTCATATTCCACTGGCTCTGTGTTCAGCTTTTAGCAAATTACAGGGAATGTTTATTCTGTCCACAGCTCCCTGCTCTCTTTGTTCAGACAGTAATATATCCTTTTATCTTTTTTCATCTTTCTCCTCAATTCTCAATGACTTATCTTTTTCTACTTTAACTGTTACTAATGGTCACCTCCACTCCTTTTATTTCCTTAATATTTTATTCACTGTTCACTTCAATACATCTTTCTTTCAGTTGTTCTAAAGCCTTTTATTTTTTTCACATCCCAATAACTCTTTATTCTACTCTCCTTTCCACTAGCTAGACTTGCTTTCGTCTTTAAAAGACCATTTTCAACAAGCTTCTAGGATGAAAACACGGCATCCCAGTTTCCTTTAATGTGACCAGGGGAGCACTTTCATGGTGTCTCTCACTGTGTGAAGCAAAGCCCCCAACTCATGATAACTTGGGCAAAACTTTACTGGCTTCATCTCAGTCTTGAAAGGTGAGCTGGGAAGATATTTGGTTATTCCCATATTTGATGAGTATGGCAAGAAGAAAGGGGAAGAAAGCAGAAACCCAGGAAGGAGACATTTATTCAAGGTCTTTGGTCTCAGGGAGGCATCTGTGATGGGTTTGTGGCAAGAGGCCCTGGTGATCTTCGACACCCAGAACTATTGTAACATTGGTTGGTGTGCCCACTATATTGGCACCATGAGATTTGAGTAGTGACTCTGGTGTTAGCCTCCTAGTTGACACCCAGGCTCCAGAAGAATAGCTGGCCTGGAAAACTGACCAGCCACCCAGCTGATATGGAAAAAGGCCAAGTGATAGCTCCTATCTGGTGTGATGGAGAATACAGAACAGCTCTGCCCTGTCAGCTGGGACAGACCTCCTGCATTGGAGACAGACCTGTGATCATCATATTTGCTAAGGAAATCATGATCCTCTAGCCTCTATTAGTGGGAGACATCTCCAACTACCAGCAAAGGACACCCATTGGCCCTCAGCCACTTCAGGTCAGCACTTTTCTTCCACCTTGTTTATCCTTCATGGATTACTCCTCTTGGACCACACGGATACACAGAGGGAAATAGCCACACCTGAGTTCACCTAAAATGCAAACTTACAAGAATTTACACTTCAGAAAGGACCTGCATTACTCAGAACAGGCTTGGTGTCAAACAACCCCAGTGACTTAAGAGAATAGACATTTATTTTTCATTCAGATCATGTGGATGCAGGTTGGGCTGCTTTCCTGGGTAGTTCTCCTCCAAGTGGCTGCCCTCCAAGTGGGAACTTGAGGACCCACCCTACTTTTAACTTGGTCCTGCCATCTTGTACCTTCCAATCACTCTTATACCTCCAAGCTGCAAGACAGGGGGACAATATAAAAGTAAGGGGGCTTGGCTCCATGCTCTTTATTGGTTGAGCGTCGACCTATGAACCAGTCTTTGAGCACTGACCTATGAATCAGGAGATCACATTTCAATTCCTGGTCAGGGTACGTGCTCAGGTTGAGGGCTCCATTGCCAGTGTGGGGTGTGCAGGAGGCAGCCAATCAATGATTCTCTCATCATTGATGTTTCTATATCTCCTTCTCCCTTCCTCTCTGAAATCAATAAAAAAATATTTTTTTAAAAAGAGTATGGGGAAGACACCCCACATGTTTAACCACCTTAGCTCACAAGGGACATGTATCATTTCTACTTCATGCTATTAGACACACCTAGTCATGTAGGCAACCTAACTACAAACAAGGCTGGGAAATGTAGAACACTCGTGTTAAGTACATGTTCACAGTCTCTGTACAGATCCCAACAAAGCAGTGTGACCCAAGTTGCAAAGAGACTTCCGAAGAGACAGAGACAGACCACAAAGGAAGCAGCCATCTCAGAGTAACTTGGGCCTACATGGGAGAGAGGACAAAAGTCACACAGG